CACCCACACCACCCACACCCCAAAACCACTGAAAAAAATGGTTTTATCAGAAGCCGAAAGTTTTTCTGGCTTTTTGAACCCAAGAGAACATCTAGAAAAATTTTAAACCAGATATTCGTGATCGCCGTCACTTGCTCTATCCAATGATGTATTTCAAAACAAAAATAAAATTTTGCTTAAATTTTGCATTGGATGCACCTTACAGATATTAGTTTTATGCAAAATTACCTTTCATAGTTAATTAGTAACATTTACGTTGTGATACTTCATTCAGATAAACCATACGGATTTCTAGTGTTCAATATTACATGTTATAGTGCGTCTACGAAAACCGATACAAGCAAAACTAAAATATTGTTAAGAAAAACACCTTTGAAATACCTTTGAGATATCTTCAAAATACTTTCAAAGTTTCTTAGAAATAGCTATCAATATCTGCAGATCATTTGTACAAGTAGGGATCTAATCAGCCGTATTTACTATCAAACTAGTTAACAAAATATAGGACACATATCATATTAGAAAATAATGTGCACTTTAAAGCACTCAGAAACAGTACTCATAATCACACCATCCATTATAGTCTCATTTTTCATATACTGACGGCTGCCATCCTATATAAATGACTGTCACCATTCACTACATGTCATTTTCACTCCAACACACATTGAAATAAGTGATCATTAAATTCTTAAAAATACAACGAACATTCACAATCACATGTAATTCCAAACGTATATATTTCAATAGAAAATGATCAAAGTGTAAGTGTCGATGTGAGAAAACAAAATCTGAGAACGAGAACATATTACAACATAGTCGTATAGAAAAAAAAAGACAGTGAAACAAAAACTACATAGAACACTTCTAGACAATAATTTTCATAGTTTTCATAGAGATTAATCATAAATCTATGTAATTAATATTGTCTTTGGATACTTACGAAAATACTGAAATTTATCATAGTCGTAAAAATAAACAATCATAGATTTGTTTGTATCATAAAAGGAACCTCTATCATTATGAATAAATTTATTAGGAGTGATAAATGCAATATAATCCAATGACGTATTTTGTCGCTTAAAATATTGATCGACCATATGATCAATGTTAACTCCCCAAGATGGAACAGAAACAGATACATTTATTAAAGACTCAATCATAGCTTTAAAGACCAATCGATTAGCAAATGCTACACCAAAGCTCCAATGTTGGATTGAACCACTTAAATAAAGATCTGAGCTCAATATTGGAAATTTTAACATTTTCAATAGAAATTCAACATTTGCTAAATAATATTCTGCTGGTCCTTCTAGTACTATATCATCAGCATCTATATTCCAAACGTAGTCATAACCATCTAGATAGAAATAAGGTAAAGTTAATGCTATTCCAGCTCCCTTCCATCCTTCACTAAAAATTTTGCTATCACGTATGGTATGTAATATTGTATTTCTCGTTGATATAGAAGATGCAATCATATCTTTATTAATAATTTTGAATTCTCTATAATAACTTTGTGGCATCGAGAAACCATCAGTGTAAATCCATATGTCATATTTTGATATATTAGAAAATGAGCTTATCCAAAAATCCAAATTATTCAAAGCGAACAATATACCTTGTGGTCTTGGTCTAATTTTCAACCAAACTGCAGTCATGTCTATAAACAAAGATATGCAATGTGATATAATAAATGCATAAGGGTAGTAAAAGTGTATGTATCTAATCTTTCAAACAATGAAGAGATTCAAAATATTTGCTTCTGTAAGCCTTTTATAGTTTGTTGATATTCCATGCAGAGTATGGGTGATTGATAAATTTTCGAATGTCAAAAAATCTTGGAATTCAATCAAGTATTTTGAATATTTACTTTTTGTGAAATGCCACTTGAAACGGAGTGTTGAAGTATATAGGGCAAACATTTTGGATTAACTCCTCTTTTTGACGGACTACTACAAAGAAAATGTAGTTTTGTAGTACTCAATAGACGATCAGTTACAAGTCTATCGTAAAGAAATGAAAAAAAGCGATGTCCATGTAATTAATAATAATTAGGTACATTGTATTTCATATTTTTAATCTTGCAAGTGATTGTGCTAACAGCTTTTTTTTCTTAGGTTCTAATTTTCAAGTTTAAAAATTATTCTTCAGCAGGATATCATATTATATCAATTATGTGAAATCAATTTGCTTGAAAGTAGCTTGTAACTCAATGCAATATAATGACCATCGCTAGGAACATGCGACAAAAATATTGTCACTGGCAAATTCAAAAGTAAAGGGAGATGAGAATTTTTATCTTTGTGAAATATCTTTTTTTAATTACATGAATATCATAACTCAGTATGAGCATTTAACTAATTTTAAATGAATATTTTCATCTAAGATTTGTTTGAGAAAATTTTTCAACAGTTCGAATAAAATATCTAAACAATTTATTATTTTGAATGATTGACTCGGTACACTTTAATCAATCGAGCTTTTACTAAAAACTACAGTCAATTTCTTCCACATCTAAATAGCGTTGACAATCCTAGTGGTACCATTGCTACTGATGTTGACTAGTTCTTGCACAAATTAATGAGATTTTCATCGGTTCTGGTTTCATGCTCGAACTTAAAAGATATTATCGATTTTTATTGATGCCTGATGAAATTAGAAGAAATCGTCTTCATTTCACATAACTTTTGGAAAGTAGATTCTTTCTCTGTATGTATGAAAAAAAAATCCTCAACTTCTACAACTTATGAAAAGCTTTTTTTAGCAAAGTAACTTTTCGTTTCTTGAATGAAGAGATTAGCTCATTTCACAAATCTAAACTATTCATAGAAAAATTTCAGATACTTTTTTTGATGGTTGAAATTGTAAAATCTATTGCAGTTCCATTAGTCTGATAAATGAAAGTCATTTGTGATCCATGTGCTAAATTAAAATTGTCGTTAGTCCATTGATGAATGTTCATGACAGCTACTGGAGTCCCAGCATTAGTGCCGAAGCCAATTGCTAGATACTGTTCTTTGGCTATGTATAATTTATTTTTGGGAACGCAAAATTTTTGTGGTCCAATGATTGACATAATTTGATCCGGTGGAATTTTATATTTATTGAAAATGATGAAATTGGCAGTTTTGTTTGAAGAATTTGTTATGGAATCAGATACTACTTGTTTTCCTCGCTAAAAACAACAAAAATTTACACTCATTAAAATTTTAAGAAAGTAGCTATATAGGATATGAATGTGAACACACGTGGCTAATAACAATCGACAGCCACACTGCAAAAACGAACCGAAATAAACAAAATATGAGACGTAGAAATCTGCCTTAAAGAAAAACTATCGAATATAGCAAGTAACTTGAATTGTTAATACTGATTACAATGTAGTATTTTCAATTGAAACCTTTCAAACTACTAAAAATAATCTAATTCATGTTGAACATTAATTTAAAAATTGTTTTTCATCAAATGAAAAGTATCGAATGGATAATATTAAGGTGGAAATATGTTTAGACACAAGATTTTCTCAAACATCACGATACTAAACAATCAAATATATGGTAATTGTTTTTCTAGTGAAAGTATTTCTACAATTGATCATGTAACTCAATGTTTAGTCAGCGTGATTTTAAAATTGTCCGAATTCAAAATAAACAGCATGATTTTTGTTCATAATATTATATGATAAATTGATCCAGAAAACATGGACACTGAATCTACGTAAATATGCATAGTCGATCGAAAATCAAGTGATTTCTATAAATTTGTAGTTCACTTGTTCGTATATTTGTCTGTAAAATTTCTTGTTTTTATAATGAATATGAACAACCATATAGTTTGCATAGATTCTTGTTACTACAAAATATATTTATCTGCTTATCAGGTAGCCAAGCCGTTTTGAACAGGTATACTTTATTGTATCTTTTACTATAGAGATATTCATTACATCGATAGAATTAACAATTAGAAGGCTTTTTTTTATAAATCTATCGGTATTACATTATTGAATACTGAAAAATGAGGTACATCTTACAGTGATCGTCGACGACGTTGTTGCTTGAGCTTGACCTATCACATAAATCCATATTTGAGCTCTCGTAGCCAATGGAGCAGAATAAAAATTGATATAAATACATTCTATATATCCATCAATATGTTTGCTGTTATTATTAAAAACCGTATGTCCAGCAACAAACGAATTATATAGCGGAGATTTTTGTTTTCCCAAAGCTTAAAATAAGTGCAGAAGTAAATGTGATTATACTAGACTCTTCCGTAAAATAAAATTTGGTTTTTTTTTGACATACCTGCTGCCCATAATATTTGCTTACTGTTACATGACAATAATAGACAAGTTGGATTAGAAATGAATACTGTACTAAGTATCAAGCAGGCCACTATACCACAGAGTAAAATTATATCACGATTTTCCCTTAACATTACCAATCGTCTTTAAAATATTAAGACCTATACCATTCAACAATAAAAAAATATGCAGATTGAGTAAACAATTCTTGTGATCTAGAGCATATAGGATTAACTGATCATTGTAAAGTGTGGTGCTCTCACTAATCGAAGAAGGTTCTCAACAATCCTGAATATCAAGCTTCTTGTTTATCATGTGTCGGATTTAAGAAATGCAAATTTGAAACCAGTATTTAGTCATTCAATACAGTAGGTCATGTAAAAAGACAATACATTTCAATAGTTGTTCGATATCTCGAGAATACTATTAGCAAGAAACCTGTGACTTTCACTATTTGAGAGTTTGTTGAACGTTGCATCCTATATATTTCTTCAGCTACTGAGTTTATGTGTTCCTCTAGGTGATCCTAATTTGTTTTTGCCTCATGTCACTGTGAAATCGTAAGTATTTTACTTGAGCATTCAGATTAATTAAGTCTCGTCTTCTTAAAAATGGAGATCAACCCAGGAATTTCCAATGTGTATGAAACTATCAGGATATGTTGAAGATAATCAATCATGACTGTAGTAAAATTTTCAGCTCTGTAGCACAATGTTTAACAAGGATATGTACCAAATAAGGATCGAAAATAGATCTATAGTATTTTTAATTTTTTGATCATAAATGTTTATTCTAGACATTTGATATTTTCTTTGTCTAAAACAACATGACAGATTACAGCCATTCCTGTAGCTCTCTTGCTTTTAGTCTTTGTTTTTTAAAGGAAAAGACAGGAAATTTAATAACTATAAAACTTTTCAACGAAAAATTTCACTATCTCGATAGAAATGTTATCTTTTTATGATGATAAAAAAAAAAGGCTTATGACTCGGTATCTTTTTTGTATTTTTCATCTACATTCAATAGAGTCTCACAGATCTGTCTAATTCTTAGAAGAGCTAGTATGTTTGATAGAATAGAATATATCATAACAGATCTTACAATAAAGAAATCTAATACAACATTTTCTATATCGTTATCTTGTAAGAGATATTGGTTCAACAAGCACATTATGGAATAAATTCGTACGAGTGCTTCAATAGTACTTTTATACGAATTATCATCAAATACTTAGGCTCATTTTTTTTCTTTTGCTTTTTAATCTACTATACAAAGTACGGAAACCCGGAACTCGCTACATCTTTACGTTTTTATTTTGTTATATATATCTGACTATGTAAATAATAAAATCTTAAATTCTTTTCGAAAAAGTTCTACCTTGAAAAGCTCTATAATTTCTGTATGTTTGAATTTCATTTTGTATGTTGTAATAGTTTTTCATTATACTCTAAATAAACATCTTACATGACAAGGTCACTTTTCATCATCTCGAAAAATATATCGAAGACTTCTTTGTTTTGCATATATCTCGACTTGAGAAAATATTAGAATAAACAACTTCTTGTCAAAAGATATATCATCGAAAGCTCTACAAGAACTGTATGAAACAATTCTTACAGTGAATCTGTCATGTGAACTTTTTTTATTTTGAGCTTAAGAAAAACCAATTACAACACATATAATGGAATTCAATCATACAGAAGTTATAGAGCTTTTCATGATACAAAAATATATTGGGCATCTGGTATTGTGGGAAAAAAGCTGAGTTTGTGTCAGAGTAAAAAAGCATTCGCTTAAAGTTGTTTTCTATAAATCGTAGTCTGAAAAGCCGAATCTGAAATCGATTCTTCGAAATTTTGAATCGACTTAAATTTTTCTCTGTTTTTATCAGACTAGAATTTACAACTTCAAAACAACACGTTGACTAAAAGTCCGATGCTCATGTTTTTAATATTACACTTTCGATGAATGTGATTTTTTAGACAAAAAAGTCAATATTAGTATATTTTATCAAAAAAAAATAATTAGCTGATTTCATCATGTTGTCAGTGTGTAACTGCATACGATTGTTTTTTGCTGTCGATATTTATTAGTTAAAGTGCACTTGAATAAAGAATCACTGGTTTTTATAATCTCTTGCTGAAAACTAAATATTATCCTAAATTATTTTCCAGA